GGGGGCTCGCCGGGGCCTCTTGGGAGCCTCTCGGGGCCCTCCTGGGCCGTCTGAGGCGCCTCTTGGGCCGCATTGGGGCCACCTCGGGCTGTCCGGGCCCTAATTGGGCCGTCTCGGGGGCCATCTTGGGTTGTCCTGGTTCCCGCTTGGGGTCCCCATTTGGGCTGTGTTGGGCGTTTCTTGGGGCGGTCTGGGGCCGTCGTAGGGACCTCTTGGAGGCATCTTGGTCCGTTTCGGGTCGATCTTCATGGCTCCTGAGACAGTCTGCAGAAAATGGCAGCTTTCTTTTCGGCATGGAGCAGTGTTCGCTTGTTGGGGCCTTCGTGGGGAGAGTCTTCTTGGAGTCATCTGGGGTCGTCTGGGGGGCCACTCGGGGGCCTCCTGGGCAGTCTGCAGCGCCGTCTGGGCCGTCTGCAGGCCATCTTGGGTCGGGTGGGGCCGTCATGGGCCATCATGGGCTGTCCTGGGCCGCTCTTTGGGCCCTTTGGAGCTATCTTGGGCGTCTATTGGGCCGTCACAGGGTGGTCTCTGGGGCCGTCTTGGGGACCTCTTGGAGGCCTCTTGGCCCGTCTCGGGTCGATCTTCATGGCCTCTCCATCCTTCATGTCTTCGTCACCCTCCGCCTCCCTTCCAACTAAACGCCGGTGGCTGAAAGTAGATATTTCTGTCTTCTCGGGTCCCAATTTACTTCAAGCCCCTTCCTACTTCAAGAACCGATCTGCTCTTACTGTGTTGTGTTATTCTCTAGGAGGGCCTGAATCCAATATACGGTTGAAAGAAACAAGCTTGCGCCACCTGGGCGGCACGACAACTGATGATACGACCCCCCCGCCCCCGACCTTAACATTAAGAGCGGACGCGCACTTTATTTTATCGTGACCCACCTTGGGGCCCGCTGAAATGGGATGTATCTTTATTCTTTCGAAGGGCCCACGGAAATGTCACGACTATCAATACTAAAGTCGGGGGCGCGGGGGGGCAGCAGCGCCATCCGCCTCGCAGCTCAAGCCTAAGTGGTGCAAACATTTGTCTTTCAACAGTACTTCATGTTTGTACCTACGGTAGTGGGAAACAATTAGTGCACACACACCCTGCCCCCCAAACTCAAAGTTGGCACGCGCGGGGGAGACTGCGGTCGAGGTGCAACTCATCAGACCCACCGCCAAGTTTGAACATTGGGGGGAGGGGGAGGGGGAGGCGTTGACAGATGAATGTGGCATGAGTGTTCGCTTTTTTTTTCCGAGGCCTGTACGCCTTCCGATCGGCGCGTATTTCGGCCCTTTTCGGCCCAGCGATCTGTGTCGTCGCACCCGGGCGCTCCCTGGCGGGGACCGGTGGGTCGTGCGGGCTGGCTCGTGTCCCGCTGGCGCGGTGCTGCTCGCCGGCTCCTGTGCTGGGCTTCGGGGGGTGAGGACGCCGAGGGCGAAGGGGTGGGGCTCGGCCTGGGCGGGGCAGGGGAAGGGCCTCTCCTGTCGCTCCTCCCCCATCGCTTCCTTCTGCTCGCCTCCGTGAGGCATCCGTTCTCTTCTCTTCCGGCCAGGGCATTTTCATGAATGTATCGCAATTGAGTTTATGGTGGTGGGGTCACTGCATTCGCGAGCTCGGAGAAAATATTTTCGCGAGCCTGGCGGGGGGGAGAATTTTCTTGGTGCTCCCCCGGTGGACGCCGAACGTGCCAGCTGCAGGCAGGGGGGATAAAGAGGAGGAGGAGGAGGAGGAGGAGGAGGACGACGACGACGACGAGTGCAAAACCAAGACGCATCAACGATGCTGGAATAAACCCTCCCTCCGAGCTCCTGCCTTGGTTCCATACAGGGATTGATTTCCACCGAGGGGAGTGCCCCGTGGGGAGACGACCGTGTGAAGATCCTGAAGCGTGCCGAAACACCATCTTCGGGACTCGAACGCCACGAATCGACCTGACTGTTGCGTCTTGACGGTCCTGAACCTGCCAGAAAACAATTCTTGGGACTTCAACACCGCGAATCCACGTGGCTGGTGCGCCCTGACAATCCTGTCTCGTTCCAAAGTATTGTTTCTAGTTCGTTGTCCACTGGAATCCGTGACATATGTTTATATTTTTGTTTAAGTCGAGTGTGCGCGGCGCACAGGCGAGAGCCAAATTGTGAAATCGGCCCGCCCTTCATGCGTAAACTCTTGCACATATTTAAGACAAATGTGCGCGGCGCACAGGCGAGAACCACATTTTGAGAACCGCCCGCCGTGAATCCGTGAAACCATTGCGAAGTTTTAAATCACTACGTTTTCTTCGGTGCTCACTGCAGTACTGACTGGGCGCCCCCCTGCGCCGCCGCCGTCATTTTGAACTGATTTTGGCCGGCGAGCCCGCCGCCATTAGGTTGCTAACTCCGGCGCCTGGGAGCGCCCGCGCGCGCTCGCGGGTGCTTGCGAGTGCCCCGGCGGACGCCTGAAAGCGCATGCGAGCGCCTGGGAGCGCCTGCGCGCGCTTGCGAGCGCTTGCGAGTGCTTGCGAGTGCTGGGGGGAGGTCGCCCAGGAGCGCATACAAACGCCTGGGAACGCCAGGAGGCGCCTGGGATCGCGTGGGAGCGCTTGCGCCCGCGCTTGATTTCCGAGTTTTTTGTGAGAATATATAGATAGTTATATGGTTATGTGTATGTATGTTTTTATATACATATATGTACAGTGCATATATATATATATATATATGTATATATATATATATATATATATATATATATATATGTGTACGCTGTGGTTTTATTAAACAGATTCCAGAGCAGAGCCCGCCATAATCATTCCGTACTGGTTACAAGACGATCCGCCGCCAATTTTTTATCGGGAGTTCCAGCTGATTTGCATGTGTTGGTTTGTCTCGCCGCCGTTTTCTTCGATACATCAGTTACTCTTTCAGGTTTGTTCTCCGCCGCCCGCTTATTTTCTGATATGGAATCTGTTTTATTGCTTCCGGTGTGATAGTTTTAAAACGAATGTGCGTGGCGCACAGGCGAGAGCCACATTGTGAAATCGGCCCGCCCTTCATGCGTAATCTCTTGCACATATTTAAGACAAATGTGCGCGGCGCACAGGCGAGAGCCACATTTTGACAACCACCCGCTCCCAATCGGTGAAAGTCTTGCCAATGTTTAAACTTCAGGGTCATGAATGGTGAAGAAGTCTCAGGCGAGACGCCCGGCCCGCCCTTTCGACCGTCTTCGGGGGGCGAGAGGGAGGAGTTATTTATAAGGGAAAGGAATGGAAGAGGAGGAGGAGGAGGAGGAGGAGGAGGAGGAGGAGGAGGAGAGGGACGAGGGAAGAGCAGGAGGAGAAGTAGGAACGGGGATCTGCCCTGGACGAGGTATAGAAGCCGAGCAAGGGAAGGAGAGGCAAGGAGCATAATGGCGACAGGTGCCGGGGTCTTGCAGGTGAGGTGAGCGAGTAGTGCGTAAACGGGCACACGAGCAGGCCTACATTGTCGGGCTCATCGGCACGTTGTGGGCGACGCTGATCAAGCACAGCTACATGCGGGGTGCCATCGCAGACCCGCTGTCCTTTGGTTTGTGTGCATCTCAAAACGCTCCGATACGCTCCAGGGGGGGAGCACGTCACCAACCCCCCCCCTCCTCCTCTCCGTTCCTCCTCCGCCTCCTCCCGCTCCTCCCCCTTGTCCTACTCCTCCTCCTCCTCCTCCTCCTCCTCCTCCTCCTCCTCCTCCCCATCTTTGCCATCCTCGTTCTCGACCTCCTCCTCGTCCTCCCGCCTCCAGGTCTGGGAAGGGGGCATGGCGCACCGCCAGACTGCTTCTTTCAGCCTCACGGTCGGCCTCGAAGGGCGAACATGCCCTTCTTCGGCGCACTCGCTCCCGTGCTGGAGCTTCTCTTCGCGAAGAGAGAGGGAGAGAGAGAGAGAGAGAACTTCTCTTCGCGAAGAGAGAGAGAGAGAGAGGGTTAGAGAGTGTACCATTCTCTTTTCTGCCTCGTGGGTCCCCAGAGGCAGCGTCGTCCAGACATCCGTGGCCTGGTGCGCCGGCGCACGCCTCGCGCCCCCCTGCGCGTGGCGGCGGTGCACAGGTGCTGCGCAGGGCAGTCGCTTCCCTCTGTCCCCCCCGTCGTCTCACAGCTTGTACAGTGGGGGCCCATGCCAAGAAACACCCTGCTTGCCTCCAGGGTGCCCTGGGTTTCTTTGGATTTCGGTTGCTTTCCGATGGAAAGCGTAACGTTCCTACGCCAAAAATCCGTGGACGGACGCCCTGGGGTCTCAGGGTTGGGTTTCTTGTGGAGGGTTTCTTGTGGTCGAGCTCCTACTGTACCCGACGTGCTCGGCCGCTGTTGTTATCAGAATCGGGGGTTCTGTTGCTGGGCTCAGCCCGACTGGGGGGGCTCGGCGGATACTCACCGCCATCATGGTGCTGCTCCAGGCGGGTTCGGGACGGGTTGTTGCAATCCGGGCCCAATTCAGCACAAGGGCGCTCGGCAAGGATGCAAGGAAGCGCTGTTGCGGCATGAGGCGGGAAGGGAGCTGAGAGTAATGGCATCGGGGTAGAGCGCGAAGCCCGAGTGGAGCAGGTAGTTCTGGAACATGCAGAAGGCCAGGGTAAGTTCGGAGGCGAGGGGGGGAGTGGGGGGGAATGGCGTGAGGGGCAGGAGGAGGGAGGACGGAGGATGGATGGCGGAGAGGGAGGGCGAAGAACAATCAACAATGAAAGGGGAGGGAGGGAAGAAGAAGGAAGAACGAAGGATGGAGTGTCGTCTGGCCAAGCTGGCTGCCTCATGCGTTCCTCCCGCTGGGCCTCGCAAAAGAGATGAAATTGGCGACGGCTCGGCAGTGGTCTCCTCCACCCCGAGAGGAGTAGTGTCTCAGTCGAGCCGCTTACTGTTTGCCTCGTGAAGAGGGGGTATCTGATCCTTGATGTCGAATAACGAAGACCTATTCCTTCCTGCCCCCCCCCTCAGGCCATCGCGGGTTGAAGGCCAATCAAACGCCATCCGTCCGCTTCTCTGTCTCACGCTGCGGCGCCGCATGGTTGCGCTGAGATGCAGTGCTCGAAGGCGGAAACATCATGCTGGCGGCTCGCGCCGTGGATCAAAACAGAGCTCAGGCCATCGCGCTGCTCTACTTCGTCTGCTCCTACCTGCCCGGGGGCACCGCGACGCTCAACATGCTGGGCCGATTTGGCGGCCGCAGCGTCAGGCCCCCGGGCGGGGGGAAGGGCGCAGGCACGGGGGGATGGGGAGGGGGGCGGCGGAGGAGAAGGGGGAGGAGGAGGAGGAGGAAAGGAGGAATGGAGTAGGAGGAGGAGGAAGAGGAGAGAGGAGGAGGAGGAGGAGGAGGAGGAGGAGGGAGGAGGAGGGAGGAGGAGGAGGAGGAGGAGGAGGAGGAGGAGGAGCCCTGAGAACCAGGCGCGCCAGGCGTGTTCGCCTGGTCTCTGGCCCTGGGACGGACCATCACAGGTCGATCGGGCTCGGAAAATGCTCAGAAAGATTGGGTCCGGGGTTCCGGTCGGGATGTTTCGCGAGGTGGCACTTGTCTCGCAGCGTCGGATCTCAGGGGGGGAGGAGGGGCTTGGAGGAGAGGGGCTGGGGCAACCGAGGCAAAGGGAGCTGAAACGGGGCCGCCCTCCCCCTTTCTCCCCGCGGCCCTCTCCCTCACCTCCCCCGGCTGCCTTCTCCCTCCCCTCAGCTCCCTTCTCGCCCCCATCCCCCTCTCTTCTCCTCGCCCCTCCCCTCCCCTCCTCTCCCTTCTGTGCTCCTCCGTTCCCCATGTCCTTTCTCCCCCTCCTCTCCCTCCTCCTCCTCTTCCTCCTCCTCCTCCTCCTCCTCCTCCTCCTCCTCCTCTTCCTCCTCCTTCTCCACCTCTCCTCATCCTCCTCCTCCTCCTCCTCCTCTCCGTTTGTTGACCTCTTCCTGCGTCCCCCGCTTCTGGTTGCCCCCGCCGCAGCCTCTTTTGTTCCTGGCCGCCACATGTGGCCAACAGAAAACCAAGCGGCAGCCCGACGTTTTGCCCGCTGCTGCTTCCGCGGGCTTCGACGGCCACGCCGGTTGAGGAGGTGGAGGAGGGAGGAGGGTGCAGGAGACGGAGGAGGGAGGAGGGAGGAGCGGGCGCAGGAGGGAGGGAGGAGGGTGGAGGAGACGGAGGAGGAAGGAGGGGCGGCGGAGGAGGGGGAGGGAGGAGGGTGGAACGGACGGAGGAGGGAGGAGGGGGCGGATGATGAGGAGGGAGGAGGGGGGATGGGTTGAGGAGGAGGCTGGAGTAGGGAGGAGGGGGGATGAGGGAGGAGGGAGGAGGGTGCTGAGGGGGCAGACAGACGGAGGCACTTCTGGACACCAGGGATGTTTTTTGGGAAACGTCTTTGGCTGTTTTGGCGGCCTGACTGAAAGCGATGGGGCCTCTGGGGCTGCTGTGGGGCCGCGTGGGGGGGTGCGATGTCGGCTGGGCTCGGGTGGTATGAATTCAAATTCAAAATGAACGATGGGGCAGAACGCATGTAAATCGTACTATCCCGAGGAGGGGGGGTAACCCGGGAGGGGGGGGGAGATCATATTTTTCGAGGAAAGGAGAATCCTTTTGGTGCAATCGCTGCGAGGGAATTACGCGAGGTCGCGACGAGGCGGCGACGGGGCGGTGACAGCGACACCATAGCCGCCAGACCGACGCAGCGGCCCAGACGATGGGCGGCGACGAGGCTGCGACGGGGCGGCGACGGCAACAACACAACGTAGCCGCCTGACCGACGCACAGGGCTGGACGACGGGCGGCGACGGGTCAGCGATGGCGACAATATGGCCGCCAGACCGACGCACAGGTCCAGCTTCTTGGAAAACAAGTGAGAACCCCTGAGTGCAAACACTGTGAGGGATTTTATACATAGATTTATATATACATGATTGTATTTGCGCTTCGCACCATGCAGCTTGTGTCCTTGAAGTTTGGTATGCAGGTGGCATGGCAGGATGGTCAACCAGGCAATTTGGCGATAGCTCCTCGTTGCCTTTCCAGCATCGCCGTTGTACTAATGTTATTCGTTATCTTTCCTCCATGCTTCTTTCTCTTCATTCTCGCCCCACCTGGCGATTTCTTCCCCATCCTCCTTAGCTCTTTTTGCGGATGCTCCTCCTTGGAGAGCCTCTGGAGGCCTCACGGAAGTTTTTCAGGCTTTCTTGAGGCCTTCTGGAGGCCTCCTGGGCGTCTTCTGGGGGTTCTGGGGTCTTCCTCGGGCCACCCTGCCTCCAACCTCGGCCTCCCTGAACGACCAGGTCACGATTTGGAATGCTTCGGAGGGTGTCTTGAGGCCATCTTGGGCCGTCATGGGGCTCTCTTAGGCCATTTTGGACCCATGTTGTGCCGTCTTGAGGCTCTCTTGGACTGCCTGGAAGCCCTTGCGGATGGTTTGGGGCGATTTTCGAGCCTCCCAGGCGGTCTCGGACGCCCAGAAGACCGAAGAACAGCGCACTCCCCAAATCATTCAAAAACATTGGAAAATCAATGTTTTTCTGCGTTTTGGAAGCCTCTTGGGGGTCTTCTTTAAGTCGTCTTCGGGCGTCTGGTGGGTGTCTGGGGCCTCTTGGGGCCCCCAGGGCGGCGTTCGGCCGCCCTCCTGACCCATTAGGGCCCGTTGCCTAGGGCCGGCAAGGGCTTCCAGGAGCTCTGAAACGCGTGGGGGGCTTCCTGCAGGGGCGTCCAGGGAGTCTCTGGGGCCACGGATCCGAGGGGTCCACAGGGGCGCGGGGGCCCTTAAAGCGGGTGGGTCCGATTTCGGTGGGGGGTCCCAGGTAATACCAATACATATATATATATATATATATATATATATATGTATATATATAGAGAGAGATATGTATGCATATTTACATACATACATACATACATACCTACATACATACATACATACATACATACATACCTACCTACCTACCTACCTACCTACCTACATACCTACATACCTACATACCTACATACCTACATACCTACATACATACATACATACATACATACATACATACATACATACATACATACATACATACATACATACATATACACATATATATATATAACCCCTACAGACATGTTGTTCAGGCGCTTCACGCAAACATTGCACAACGCATGCAGTCGAAGGTTTAGCATTCAAAGTCTGACAAATATGTAGAGGACGGCTGACGCAACGGTGTAGATGTAAGGGTGAATGCGATCAAAGTTAAGTGACGCCAGCCTGCTAGGATGCACGCTATGGGTAGAGCCGTCTTAATATGAGGCACGTCTACGGTAAATGCAGAACATGTGTCCAGCAACCGCGCTAGCGCACGCAGCATTGTGCAGTGAACCTTCGGGAACAGCTCTTAAGGATACATTTATACATAATATATATATATATATAGATATATACAAGACTGCAGGGGCGCTTCGCGCCATGCACCTTGGTCCTTGAAGTTTGGTATGCAGGCGGGATTGCAGGAAGGTCAAGCCGACAATTTAGCGATAACTCCTTGTTGCCTTTTCTGGTGTTGCTGTTATCATGGTATTATTCGTTATCCTTCCTCCATGCTTCTTTTTCTTCATTCTCGCCATACCCTGCGCATTCTCCCCATCCTCCTCAGTTCTTTTTTGCGGAGGCTCCTCCTTGGAGAGCCTCTGGGGGCCTCACAAAGTTTTTCAGGCTTTCTTAAGGCCTTCTGGAGGCCTCTTGGGCGTCTTCTGGGGTTTTCCTCGGGCCACCCTGCCTCCAACCGCGGTCTCCCTGAATGACCGGGTCACGATTTGGAATGCTTCGGAGGGTGTCTTGAGGCCATCTTGGGCCGCCATGGGGCTCTCTTAGGGCCATCTTGGATCCCTGTTGTGCCGTTTAGGGGCTCTTTTGGATTGCCTGGAAGCCTTTTCGAATAGTTGTGGGGCGATTTTGGAGCGTTCGGAAGCCGAAAATAGGATAACCCAAAAATGAACCAAAAACCTGCAGAAAATCAATGATTTTTGCCATTTGTTGCCTCTTGGGTCCTGCTTGGGAGTGCTCTTGGAGGCCTCTCGGGACGTTTCGGAGCGATCTTTGGGGGCATGACGGCTTTGGGGGGTCGTCTTGGACCGTATTGGGACTCTCTGAGGTCGTTTCGGGAGCGCGCCGGAACGCTTGGAACCCGTCTGGCGCCGTCTTCGGGCTCTCGTGAGGTTATTCCGGGTCGCCTGAAGGGTTGCCCAGAGGCCTGGCCAAATTCGTTAGGTGGGGGGGGCGCTTTTTCCAGCGCCCCCAGCCCTATAGAAAATAGATGAATAGGAATTCTGTGCAAGTTATCACCCATAGGTTCCAGATGATCGTCTCATGTGGCGCGCTCGTCCGCAGGCTCGAGAAGGCCTAGCAATGGCTCACTTCCCCAGTGGAGATGAGGCTACAGTATGTGGCACTTGATGTTCACATGGCTTCGACTGCCGTGACGTTCGCTGGGATGTTAGGCCTCCTTGAAGCTTGACGGAGTCTCCTTGGGAGTTTTGTTCGGGCATCTTGGGGGCTTGCTGGAGCTCTTCGGGCCATCTTGGAGGGCTTGCGGTCTTCTGGGTGTCTTAGGGCAGTTTGGAGGATCTCTTGGCGTCTTGGGCCCGCCTTGGCCTGGTCCTGGACCGCCTTGAAGCCGCCATCTTGGGAGGAGGCTCTTGCGCCCTGTTGGGGCCGCCCTGGGGCCGTCTTGGGGCCGTCCGTGCCTCTTAGGGGGCGCTGCGGAAAACTCTGAGCGGGGCCACCCCCTCGGAGCCTCTCGTAGCTTCTTTTGACGGGAGGCGCTTACAGACAGAGATCATTGAAGCACCCAATGCCTCCCAATGTTTTCGTCATCTCAGGGGGCATCCTGGAGGACCACTTGAAAGTCTCCCGCCCCTGTTAGACACCTCTTGAAAGCGCCTTGCAGGCTGTTTGTGGTCCCTCTCGACGCAATGCTGGTCCATTTTCGAGGCCCTTGTCGGGCTGCCTTGAGGGCCGTCTTGGCAGGGAGGCGTCGGGATGCTTGGGGAGCCTTGGGAGGGTGGTGGTGGTGGTGCCCGCAGAGGGACCGTTGCTTGACTAGGGACCTCGGACAATTTCAGAAGTTCCACTTGGACAAAACAGGCAGTGCACCATGCCCCGACGTGCTGGGAGGCACGGTGGCGGAAACATGGCCTGTTCCTGTGCTTGATCCCTTATTTCCCCTCCCCCTCCCCCCGCGCGGCCGCCCTCGTCCTTTTCTTCCCTCTTGCACGCCGGTCAATTCGCCTTTCGGTTGCCCCGAATAGCCACACGTTGGAGCGGACTGCCTCGGCTTCGCCGCCGACGAAAAAAAATGCCTGATCACTCCTTCCCATCCAGGCCCGGTCAGGTCATTCCGGGTTGCAGCACGAGGCGGCGTGAGCCGCACGCACCATGCCTCCAGTGAGCAGCGGGACACGTCTTAGACAAACTCGCAGTGGACACTTCAGGAGCCACGATCTCCCTCCCACCCATCTGTTCTCATGGGAGAGCAGGAAGATGATGAAACCAAAGAACTCTCAAGCTGTGGATGCGCAACTTCTTAATGCCTGGTTCTAGGTCATGCCCATCGGCGACTTCTAGATTCGAGCCTCGAGCCTGCGCAGTCCTGCCGACAGCTTGAGAGGTCCCTTCAATGCGTGAAGACGCACTTAGCGATTTCGTGTGGTCATGGCACGTTCCCGAGCATTCCGGCATCAGGCAGACTTCGCGGGACAGCCTCTCGAGCATCGAGGGCAGTTCATTCACAACGAGCCGGTGCCGCCTGTGGCCTTTTGGAAACGCCATTGTGTCTCGAAAGGTCGAGCGAAAGGACGGCCACCCTAGGTGGATTGCATGCTCCCCCCCAGCTGTAGGGGAAACCAGTCGGGGAACATTCGGGAGGGGTCCTTTGTGGCCGTCTTGGGGTTGTCTTGGGGCTCCTTTCTGGCTTCTGGGGTCTTCCTGGGACCTCCTCAGACCCCCTTGGGCCATCTCGTGGCTCTGTCGGGCCGTCTTAGGACGTTATTGGGCCACCTTGCGCGTCGTTGGGCCATCTGGCGCCTTCGCAGGTCGTCTTGGGGCCTCTCTGGGCCGTCCCGTGGCGCCCGTCTCGGGGCCCCAGGGCGGTCCGAGAGCGCAGGCGCCTGTCCGCATGCAGCGCCTCAGCTAGTCGTTTTTCCCGATGCGACAGCTTGCGAACAAGATACTTTGGCACGTCGGCAAGCGCAACACGGCCGGCAGTGCTCGACTCGGGCTGCAAACTAATCGTCCACTTCGTCCCGCTCCCCACGCGAGCGAAGCGAGAGCCCTTGCCGAGGACGGGCCGTTGCACGGCAGCGGAATGTCTGACATGAGAGAGAATCAGATACAGTTCACAGGTCTTGTTGCCGTCAGTCGGCGGCGGGCGAGGGGGGAAGTAAGAACGAGAAGGCCTTCTCAGAAGGCTCGGAAGTCCCCCGGCCTTCTGAGAAGTTTTCTGAGCCTTCCTGGAAGACAGAGCAAAACGTTTCAGAAGGCGCGAGGGCTTCTGAGAAATACCGCCGCCTTCTGTCGGGCAAACGTAAGACTCGAGTAAGCCAGAACTCGGGTTTGCCGACGTTTTTTAACGAGCGCGTCTTGGATTTTGACGTTGACGATCCGGTTTTCGTGGGATGTTGGCAGCCAGAGCTCGCGTCAAGTTTCAGATTCGGTCTCGTCATTTTTATGATGGCCCCGTCTGGCCAAACCGAGCCCCCCGTACCCGAGTCTTCGTTTCTCCGATTTTGAGAAGGTCTTCTCCTTCTCAGTTCCTCCCCCTCGCTCGCCGCCGAGTCCGAAGTCACCCTTGCGCCCGCGGGCCCGCAGGTCACTGGCGATGGGATAGCCGCCGGGCGCACTCTGATGAGAGGGCGCCCGTAGCTCTGCGGCCTCGCGGCGCTGCAGCATGTGGCTGCTGCTTCTGCCCCCCACCCCCCCAGGAGGAGGAGGAGGAGGAGGAGGAGGAGGACGAGGACGAGGAGGAGGAGGAGGAGGACGAAGAGGAGGAGGAGGAGGAGGAGGAGGAGGAGGAGGGAGGAGGAGGGGAGGAGTGAGGAGGAGAGGAGGAGGAGGAGAGGAAGACAGAGGAGGAGGAGGAAAAGGAGAAGGAGGAGGAGGTGGTTGCACCGCTGCCACATTTCCAGGCCCGGCTGAGACGGTTCTTCCCGTGTGGTATATCCGTGCGCTGGTCAGTTTCGTGTTCCCTTTGCTTGATGATCCTCCTGCCTCCTGCCTCTCTCTTTCTCTCTCCCTCTCTCTCCCATCCTTCGCTCCATGCCTCCGCGCCCCTCTTCCTCTCTTCCTTTCCCGTCCCTCCGTTCCACTCAGTCTTTTCGTCCCCTCTCCCCCTTCCGTCCGCAGCCGCTTACCGCTGCCAGCCTCGGGCGCTGGCTCTGCAGGACGGCAGCGTGGGTCGGGCACCACGCGGAGGAGGACGAGGAGGACGAGGAGGTGAGAGCGCCTCGCTCCAGTGGTCCTGTGGCCCCTCACGAGTTGCGGTGATGCGTCGGCGCAGTCTCAGCACGTCTCCTTCTCCCCCTCCTCTCTCCCCCCCTCCTCGTCCCCTCCTACTCCTCCTCATGATCTTCCTCGCCGAGCCTTTGCGAATTACGGTGATGCGTTGACGCCGTCTTAGTGTATCTGTCAAGGCAAGGTTGGGCGACACATACAGCGGATGCCCCTACAGTGCTGTTCGCCGATGCCTAGACCTGTGAGCCTTTCGCATAGCTGAGCTGGTCGCCCCACGCTGAGCGTGAAAATAAGTTCTGATGATCTGGTCAGAGCGCATTCAAGGTACTAGTCGTGCTTATGTTGTTCGCTCGCTCTCTCTCTCTCTCTCGAGTCATTTTTTTTGTTCTCTCTCTCTCTCACTGTACGAGGGACGATGCACGGTTCATTCATTGCTCCAGGGGCTTTTGAGGAAGGCCCAGTGGCATGCTATAAGCTCGAGCCCCCTACATCCGAGCAGTGCCACACCACTCACTCAGCATTTTTTTTTATTTTTAGGTTTTTGTTTTTATTCTTTTTTTTTTTTTTTTTTTTGTTATTTTTTCTTTTTATCTTGTTTTTTTTTTTTTTTTTTTTTTTTTTTTTTTTTCTTTTTATTTTTATTTTTTTTTTTTTTTTTTTTGTTTTTTTTTTTGTCTTTTCATTTTTTTTTTTTATTCATTTTCTTTTCTTTTTTATTTTTTTTTTTTTTTTTTTTTTTTTTAAATTATTTTTATTTTTTATTCTTTTTTTTTTTCGTTTTTTTGGATTATTTTATTTATTATTATTTTATTTTTTTTTATTTTTTATATAAGCTCGAGCCCCCTACATCCGAGCAGTGCCACACCACTCACTCAGCAGGGTGTCGTCCAGAACGTCTCGCCCCGCTCCAGGAGACGCGCCGGGAGGGGGGGGTGGGAGGGGGCGCTCCAGGGGCGCCGGGTCCACGCCCACCCCGGTCGCCCGCTCGACCCAGTGGGCGGGGTGCGGGGTGGAGGGGGCCGTGACTCCGGATCCGCCGTACTTTGTTGGTTTATGTTCCGATCTTCAATGCAGTGGAAGCCCATGCCAAGAAACACCCTGCTTGCCTCCGGGGTGTCCTGGGTTTCTTGGGTTTCGAAGGTTTTGCCATGGAAAGCCCTTACACCAAAAATCAGCGGACTTCTGGGATCTCAGGGTTGGATTTCTTGTGGAAGGTTTCTTGTGGTCGAGCTTCTTCTGTATGTCGGAACTGCATCCCAAGCGATGCGGAAGGGTAGGGTGGAGGTTTGCGCCTCAGTAGGGGGCGGATGTATATATATATATATATATATATGTATATGTATATATATATATATATATATATATATATCAATGTACAATCATCCGAAGGGTGGTCGTATAGGTATATCCGCAGGGGTACGGCTGAAACAGCGACGGCAAAGCAGGGTGGAAGTCGACATCAAAGGAGCTGGAATACTGGGGCGACCAAAAAACAAGCGACACCACCCCACCTACGTCCCTCCACATTCCGCTATGGCCCATCCGGGGGCCGTAGCGTACGCCACGCACAAGCCCGAGCCGGATCTCATGGTATATGTTGAGGCCCGTGGGGCAGTAGGTGGGGTGGTGTCGCTTGTTTGCTCTGGTCCTCACTAGGGCGACAATTTCCGAATTGCCCGAGAATTCGCCCAAAGAAGTACGGCGGCGGCTTTGGCGCCGAGTTTCTCCCCGGGTGCGGGCCTGGTTCTGCGCCTGGCCCGGGAGGATAGGAGGAGGAAGAGGAGGAGGAAGAGGAGGAGGAAGAGGAGGAGGAGGAGGAGGAGAAGGAGGAGGACGAAGAAGGAAGAGGAGAACAGGAGGAGGAGGAGGAGGAGGACGAGGAAGAGGAGGAGGAAGAGGAGGAGGAGGAGGAAGAGCAGGAGGAGGAGGAAGAAAAGGAGGAGGATGATGATGATGATGATGATGATGAGGAGGAGGAGGAGGAGGAGGAGGAGTCGAAGCGGCCTCGCGGTGGAGCGCCGCGATAGTGCCTCTCCTCTCAGCGAGGGGGGGCTCCTCGACGAGTCGAGCGGACGAGATCCTCCCCGACTTGCTTAAGCCCTGACCAAGACACACCCTGTTTGCCTCCAATGTGCCCTTGGTCCTCTTGGTTTTCGATAGTTTTAGATGGAAAGCGTGACGTCCCCACTGTGTTTCTTGGGTTTCGATGGTTCTACGATGAAGAGCGTGACGTCCCCATACAACATCAGTGGACACCCCAGAGTCTCAGGGTTGGGTTTCCTGTGGAAGCTTTCTTGTGGTCGAGCTTCTACTGTAGTGGCTCCGCGATCCAGGCTGACGCTTGGTGGCGAGCGATGGAGGGAAGTAATTAAAAGAGGCAGAAGGCCTTCTCAGAAGGCGGCGGGGCTTCTCCGAGGCCCCATATAGGCTTCTGGGGAGCTTTCTGCGTCTTCGGGGAAGGCAGAGGAAGCTTCTCGGAAGGCTCGATCACTTCGAGTCTTCTGAGAAGGTCCGCCCCCTCTCGTTTCCCCCCAGGCTCGCCGCCGAGACGCCCTGACACCTCTGCAGAAAAGCGAGCTGATGCTGAGATCCTGTCACAACTCAGCCTGTGCCTGAAGCTGCCGCGGTGAGCGGCGCGGGGAAGAGAGCGACGGCACACACACACACACACACACACACACACACACACACACACGCACGCGCGCTCTCCTGCCTCTCTCCCTTCCCCCCTGACTCCGAATCCGCCGTACTTTGGTTGAGTTTCCGATGTGAATTTGCTTTCGGTGTCTCTTTCCCTCCTCGCCCCTCCTCTCGCCCCCCTGCGCTCCTGAGTTGAGAAATCCGACTTAACATTGTGTTGAAAATGCGCCCCAAACCATGCGAGCAAGTATAGGGCGGTGTTTTCCGCAGGGCGGATGTTTTTCGCAAAGGCATCCGGCGGAAGCAGCGACGGCAGAGCAGGGCGGATAAATCAGCATTAGAGGAGCTTGAACACCAGGGCCGACATTTTCCCCTGGTTTCGAAGTCGCTCAAAGTAGAACTTCTTCTCCTCCTCCTCCTCCTCCTCCTCCTCCTCCTTCTCATCCTACTTATCCTCCTCCTCCTCCTCCTCCTCCTCCTCCTCCTCCTCCTCCTCCTCCACCCAGGCCCCACCCCCTCCGCCCGCCTTCCCGTGAGGCCGGGGCGGGCCTGTGCGGCTCCAGGCCGAGTTTTGTTCGGCCCCGGCTCGCAGCATCGGGTGCCCTTGGGGCATGCTTTCTATTGTTTTCGACGATTTTTTTTTCTTCTTTTTTTTTTTTTTTGTTTTTTTTTTTTTTTTTTTTTTTTTTTTTTTTTCTTTTTTTCTTTTATCTTTGATTTCGGCTTTTTTTGTTTTTTTTTCCATTTTTCTATTTTTTTTTTTTGTTTTTTTTTTTTGTTTTTTTTTTCTTTTTTTTTTTTTTTTTTTTTTTTTTTTTTTTTTTTTTTTTTTTTCGCAGCATCTGGTGCCCTTGGGGCATTTCGGGGGGTGCCGGGGCACCTGGTCTTGGAGTTCACGAGACGAGGCGACGAGACAGATGACGTATTTGACGGCGTCTGGAGGCCTGGAGCCGTACTCGGGCTTGTATCCGGATTGCTGCAACAGGGACATCGGTCGCAAAGGGGAAGGAGGAGGAGGAGGAGGAGGAGGAGGAGGAGGGAGGAGGAGGCGGAGCAGGAGGAGGAGGAGGGACGAGGGACGAGGAGGAGGACGAGGACGCGGACGAGGACGAGGACGAGGACGAGGACGAGAGGAGGAGGAGGAGGAGAGGAGAAGGAGGAGGAGGAGGAGGAGGAGGAGGAGGAGCCCAGCCCCCAGGGTATCCGCCCTTCTTTGCGAGGCCGCCGCCCTCGTAGATGGCCACCCCCGGGGGAGCCGCCCTCCTTTGCGGGGCGGCGTAGGAGTCGGGGCGGCGTAGGAGTCTGCCTGCTCCCGATCCCCGAGCTCTGGGCGCGCGGGACAGATTTGCGGCCGCCGGAGGAGGAGGAGAAGGATGAGAAGGAGGAGGAGGAGGATGACAAGGAAGACAAGGAGGAGGAGGAGGACGAGGAGGAGGAGGAGGAGGAGGAGCAGGCGGAGGAGGGGGAGGAGGAGGACGAGGACGAGGAGGGGGGTAGTAAGGAGAGAGGAGGAGGCTGAGGAGGAGGAGAGGAGGGGGAGGAGCAGCAGCAGGGGAGGAGGAGGAGGAGGAGGAGGAGAGGAGGAGGAGGGGGGAAGGGCAATGCTAGGTGCGCTCGCGTCATATCTGACGTCCTACCCCTCCCTCCCATCCCTTACCATGGCGCTGATTTTCTCTATCCGCGGACGCGTGTCGTAGCGGACCTGTGCCTCCGCGCGCGCGTGCGTAGTGGGTGGTGGTGCACGTGCGTGCGTGCGTGCGTGTGTGCGTGGATGTCGTGGTGGTGGTGGTGGTGGTGGTGGTGGTGGTGGTGGTGGTGGTGGTGGTGGTGGTGTGGTGGTGGTGGTGGTGGTGGTGGTGGTGGTGGTGGTGGTGGTGGTGGTGGTGGTGGTGGTACTGGTGCGGGTGATGGTGGTGGTGGGTTGGGTGGTGGTGGTGGTGGTGTGGTGGTGGTGGTCGGGTGGCGGTGCGGCAGTCGGGGGTGGCGGGCGGATGGGCGCGCGATAAAAGGCCCGCGCTGGGCGAGAACGCCATCCTAACGACGGAGGCAAAACCCGATTCCGAAAATGAGGCCCACGCTGCAGCGGGAGCCCGATTCGGAACGATTCGGGAGCAGAAATGAGGCCGGCGCCTCAACGAGAGCAGCATTTTGGGAAACAATGACGCTGGCGCCTCAGCGAGAGTCGTTTACCGGGATTTCCCGGGCATCCTGTGTGTAAAAAACAGTACGCGGAGGATGCGCGGCTATCACCCGGACGCCATCAGGGGAAGGATTCGGGAGCAGAAATGAGGCCGGAGCCTCAACTAGAGCAGCATTTTGGGAAAAAGTGACGCCGGCGCGAGAGCAGCATTTTGGGAAAAAATGACTCCGGCGCTTCAGCGAGAGTCGTTTCCCGGGATTTTCCGGGCATCCTGTGTGTAAAAAACAGTACG